GTCCACTTCTTTGTGCTTAGACGTTCTTGAATTATCGATATTGCTACTACCTGTGATATCCATCAAACTTTGTTCGAAAATCGGGATGTTTGATACATCCTGCATTTTATAGTTATTTTTTTGGAACAGAAACTGTGACTCCAGTTTTCCTGTAGGATTTTCAGCTATCTTTTGATTCACGTCCATTAGATGGTTGCTTGAGTGAGCCTTCTCACTACAGAATTTTGGTACTTCGCAACTGATAGTTAGGAACTTCTGCATAGTACCTTGGGTCGCAGATTCTGCTGACGACCCACTTAGTTCCATCTCACAAAGTTCTTTTGCATTGGCAGTATTCAAGCTTTCACCATTCTTTCGAGGTAAGTCAAAGTGTCCGGCTTTTTGTTCTCCTGAACTGGGTGTCAGATGCAAAGCTGGCTTACTGCGGGTAATATCTGACTGGTTCTCATTTTGATTTTGCGAGTCAGGGACCATAATTACTGAATCGATTTGCCTATCCATATTGGACAGTTTATTTTCATTCCCTTGATTGTTATCTCCATGTAGTATGGTTTGTACCATCCGTGATAGCTTAACATAAGAAGTAGAGCAAATAATACTGTTTGTGTTTGGTTTACTTCCAGCTGGTGGTTCTGCTTCTAAGGTGCTCACTGAGCAAGATTCAGTTCTTTCGCTGGTTAGAGCAATGATAGAATCTGCCGAGTGCTGAGAGTGAATAGCAGAATTCTGAGAAGAAAGCATATCATCCAAGTTTCTTTCATCCCCAACGAAACCTGTTGACTTATTCACTGTAGATTCAAGGGATGCATCTGGACCATTTTTAGGGAAGCCTGACAATTGGCCACTTAGGTTATCCTTTGGTATGCTGCCATCAAAGCAATTTCCAGAGGACTTGACACTGTTGACAACTTCTCTAATGTCATTGTAGTCCGAGTCCAGAAGCATCTTAGAATTCTTGCTACAAGTTGGCTCATTCAACACTTTATTCCATTGAATCGTATCATCTGGTACCAGATCATGTACTTCAGGTTCTTCTGCTATGATGCTCTCTACATCTTGATATGATTGTCCTTGGTCACTTTCTGGTTCGAATGGGAATCGCGCAGCAAGTGACATGAAAGCAGAGCTGCAAGAACGGATAAGCATGTTAAAGAGATTTTCCTGCAGAACTCATTAGCTGAACTCTGTAGAAGTAAGTTTAGTTAATATGAATTCTGTAAAGGTAAGAGGTTCAACAAACCTAGAAAGATGGTCTGAAACATTCTGAGTGAGAAAAACACCAATTACAGAGTCTAAAACTGATCCCTTCCATGGAGAAAACCGTCTGTCCCCTGAGTGATAACACATAACCATATGAAGTGTTCAAAAATTTAGTGGATCCGGTTATTAGAGTACTTTATATTCTAGATGCTGCACAAGACAGCATATTAGGCACCTCGAATAGTTCAGGTGCAAAATTGTAACTGTCTTCATTAAAAAAAAAAACACAAATATACATTCATCCGTTTATGTGTGTGTATGGATGGGTATCTAATT